TCAAACCTCAGAGGGAAGGTAGGGGAGGGTGGGGGTAAGGGGGAGAGATCAACCAAAGGACTTGTATGCATGCATATAAGCCTAACCAATGGACACAGACAACAGGGGGATGAGGGCATGAGTAGAGGGGGGGAATGGGGGGATAAGGACACATATGTAATACCTTAATTAATAAAGAAATTAAAAAAAAATAATACTAGGGGGAAAAAAAACCTGAGAAAAATAAAACATGTCCAGAAACAAGAGATTAGTTAAATAAATGATGGCTTTCCTCTGAATTCCTCCTTGTACTCACCTTCCTACCTGATATCTCCACTTGTGTGCCTCATAGGCATCTCCATAAGAAGACACACAATACCTACCCTTTCTCCAACCAGTGCCTCTTAAGTCTTCCCATTATCTATCAAGCATTGCCCAAACAGAAATCTCAAATCATCTCTGATTCTTCAAATTCCTTCAGCTTTCACATCCAACCCATTAACATATTAATTCTATCTCTGAAAGTCATCACAGATCCACCCACTTTTCTCCAACTCCACTGCCGCTACACTAAAGCTATACGAGCATTCTCTCTCCTCGGACCAATCACAGCACCTTCTCAGCTGAAGTGTGCTCTTGGCTGCAGCAAAATCCACTTTCCCTGTAGCAAGAAAAATCATCATCGACTTCAAACATAAATAAAATCAAACCCTCCAAATAGCTCTTCATCGCACTTAGAGTGGGGAAAAGATAACCCCTTGCCAGTGCATACAAGGTTCTGTGTGGTCTGCCCAGTCTCCCTCACCAGTCTCATTCTTATCACTCTCCAGTCCTTCTCCAGCCACACTGATTCTCCTCTCAGGGCTCACCCACTTCAGGGCTTCCCACATTCTCTGTCTGTATCAGATGTTTTCAACAGGAGAGATTTTGCCCCTGAGGGGATATTTGGCAATGTCTGCAGATAGTTTGGAATATCACAACTGGGAGGATGGTGCTCCTGGCAACTCATGAATGGAAGCCAGGAGTGTGGGGCAATGTCTGGAGGTGGTGCAGTTCCTCACAATGAAAAATTATCCAGCCCAGAATGTCAGCAGTGCTGTTGAAAAGCTTGCTCCACATGGAAGAACTACTTTCCCTACTCCTCTTCGACGTGCAGACTCTTCTTATTCTTCAAAATTCAGTATAAATGTCACTCCTTAGGGAGGCCTTTTCCGATCACACTATTATAAGTTAGGTCTCTCCAGAGCTCACCCCTCCCCATATTCTCTTTTTCCTTCATTGCACTGCTCACAATTTCTTATGTATTACCTATGTATCATTTTAATTGCTTGTTTTTTGTTTGCCCAACTTGATGGTATGTCTGATGCTTGCAGAAACCACCTCTGACTTGTTCACAGTATCTGCAGTGCCTCAGCAAAGAGTACACAGACACTCGGTACATGTGTGCTGAATAAGCAGGTTACTATGAAGTCACTGAAATAACAAAAATCTGTATTTTAAATTGACAGTTGAAGGACCATAAACAAGATGAATAAAAAATCAATTTATAAAATTATATGAACAGCAAAATGTTTTCAAAAACTACATAGTGTATAATGCATATCTGCTTGGTACAACCAGAAAGCATATAAATAAAAATGTTATATACATATATGCTTCATATAGATGCTATCTCAGGGTCATGTAATTTAGATGATTCTAACTTCCCTTCTGGCTTTTTTCTAGTGTCTCATCTTTCTACCGCCACTGTGACACGGAGTGGTCATGCTCTTCCTCCCAAACGTTACTGTGACTGCTGAGAAGTGTCCTCATTAGCCCCATTGAACCACACCTTCCCTTGCTTACAGGTTCCCTCTGCTCTCTCCATGGAAGGCTGCAGATGAGAAGTAAAAGGGTAGAAGGCGAAGGGGAAAGGGAAGTAATGGGGACAGGTGAGTGGGGAAAACCCACAGGGGGATAAACAGCCCCTGGAACACTGAATTGCTGCCTTTCCCTCCTCACTTGGGGAAAGTCCAGGGGTGGCAAGAACTGTCCATGAGAGAGGCTATAACGTGTGCTAGCTGTGAAACAAACAAAAAAGAGAAATATCCTAGTTTTCACCAAGTTCAGCTGCATCAGGGAATCTGAACCCAACAACGCCTCACCCAACCCATGAACCCAGGGTCTCCCAGCCCCAAACTTCTTACCTGGGCAAACAGATACTCCAGAGAGCTGGCGTCAAGGAGAGGGGTTGCATCTGGAACTTTTTTTTTCTCGTAGCCATTTTTCTGCTTCTTTGGAGAATGTCGCCATACCGACTGCTCATTATCATTAGTCCCGTGCCAGTTGGTAAAATAGAACCTGGAACACAGTAAGATTGTGTCAGCTGTGGGAATGAGAGCCTTGAAATGTACGGGAGTTGTGTCCTGGTTCCACCTGGACTTATCAGCACTAGAGGCTAACCCTCCAGAGAAGTAAGCAGACAGACAGACCTTTCATCTGTAGCATTCGTTGCGTATGAAGTCCTTCTCTTGTCATTCCTACAACACTCCCTGAAGAGCGAGCCTCGTCTATGACTCAGGGAGATAAAGTGCCTTCCTTAAGATCACACAGATAGCTCCTGCAACTTTCATGATGTCTTCCTAAACAGGAAAACACTGCAGACTGGGTAGAGGCTAGCCCAGTGCCTCCCTTTACCTTTAATAATATCATCCTGCCTTGAGTCCAAGACATTTCACTCACATTTTTACATTTCTGAAATGTAATGTCACCACACAGCCAAGGTGTACAGTTAATACGGCAGTGTCTCCTATTTCTCAGATTGCTGTTATTAAATTGATGATTTATCTTACAATAAACAAAGTTTTAAAATAGGAGAAATAAATGAAGATTAACTATTACAAGCACCAGCTTGTAATGTTGTGAATTAAATTAATAAGCACTTTAGAGACAGTATGCTATTTAATTCCTACAGCAACGATATCAAGCAGATTTCATTGTTTCTATGGTCAGAGGAGGAAAACTGCAGTTTCTAAAGGCTAGGTGACCTAAGACAACAAGCCTGTTCTCTTAGCTGCCACATTCCTCAGCCGCCTGTCAGAGAAGCATAGGAGTTCTGCAAGGTATGAAAGTGAGTGAGCCAAACTGACCAGGCCACCTCTAGGCTGCAGACTCCGCTAGTGCCTGGATCTCTCTCCCTGACATGCCCGTGTGCTAATGAAAAACAACACAGCATGGAGAAACAATAAATAAAATTGCCTCCCCAAAAGGAGCCGCCATTAAACTCCGACACCTATCAGTGCTGTATCTGTACAGCTCAGCACATGCCAGGCCCTGTGAGGCAAAGGGTTCTCAGGAGAAGCACAGCCTCCGCCCTCAATGAAGTTCCCTGTCTCCATGCTCATGTGGCAATCAGTCAATCAACAATGACAATAAAGTAACATACAAGGGGGCACATCTCATAAACAGGACTACACTATGACTTTCATGGACAGCCCCCATACAGCTTTCCTTTCCTCTACATAAAAATAATAGTTTTATTTTTGATTTATTTATTGTAATCCTCACCCAAGGACAAGCTTTTATTTATTTTAGAGAGAGAGGAAGGGACAAAGAGAGAAACATTGAGTAAAAGTGAAACATTAATCAGTTGCTTCCCATACACACCAACCAGGGATCGAACCTGCAACCTGGGTGGTCATTCGGACAATAACTAGAGATCTACTAGAAGTTCTGGGGGTCTGCCCGGAAACTGATAGGTAAAAGGGTCTAAACAAGATGAATGAAGATAGTGGCTAACAGCTTTTGCATGCTCACTATGTGCCCGGCACTCCATTATACAAAGGTTCAAAGCAGGGCTCTGACGGAGGAGCAGGAAGGACAGGTAAATTCTGTTTGACAGTGCAGGAGGATGGTGATGAGAAAACGAGAATTATGTACAATGTGGAAGGTTACCTAGGACAAAAGGAAAAAGGTTCTCAAGGATAGAGGAAATTGTTCGAAAGAGAAGCACTGAAGACAGATTTTTCCCTCAACCAGTCCAAGCCATGGTCTTCTTCTTCTACATCCCACTGAGTCTCTCTGGGACTGAGTCCTTGGACCTAGTAAAGCCAAGGACCCAACAAACTCCCTCTGTAAAGACTGCAATCTCCAATCTGTCTGAACAAGGACATTCTTCAAGATTGCTATCTGAGCCTCACAGACCAGCTTTGGCTTGGGAGCCCTTTGGCAAGATGTTCAGACAGTACAGGACAAAGAGATCAAAGATAATGTGCAGCTTCTCCACTTCACTGAAGGCTGAAGGGAGCCTAAAGCAAGGCTCAATCTCTAGAAATTGCCTCCAGTCAAAGGCTGTCAGCTTTCTATCTAATGAGGTGACAAAACCAAAAATACAAAACAAATTAAAAGTTAAAGAGGTAACTGCCAAAATCAACATCTTCCCAATTTTGTTCTAATAAGACAAAACCAGAATTACATGGAGGACAGAAATTCTACATCCCTTTTAAAATTATGAAAATGTTCATCAAACTTGGGCCAAACACTAATTCCTAATATTATAACATGCTAATGGGAAAAAATAAAGAACAACATAAATAAATGTAATATGACAGCTACCCAGATTCCTTTTCAGAATGATGTGGAGGAAAAATGTAGGAAGGAAGGAGAAAGAGATGGACATGTAGAACTATCAATCAGAGATATGCCTTCCTTGCAAGTTGTTGAGAAAATTGTATTACAGATGACTGCATATTCTAAGCTTATGTACAGATGTTTTACACAACAAATTCTCTCCAGGTTTCTACAGAAGTTTACTAATGGATACTGAAATTCATTTAGATGGGAAAAGGAAACATTTTTTCTTAAACAGGAATAAAGAATATGCTTGTCTTATATGAAGATATACTAGTGGCCTGGTGCACAAAAATCATGCACATTAAAAGGGAATTAATTAGAGGAAATATTTTAATATTGTTATTTACTTTTTCTCTATAATAGAAGTGTCAAAGATAAAAGAAAAATTAGTAAAATGTTTATGAAAATCTTCCTCCTGTCAGAGTCTAGGGCGCGCCACAGGACCCAGAGTCAAGTCCCCACCCACCTGCGCGTGCCTGGAAATCGCATGAGACCCAGACCCAGCCAGCCCCACCCCTGTCAAGCCCTGCAGAGGGTGGGGTGCAGCCTCAGGTTCCCCGGCCTGATGCCAGGTGGGAGGTGTAGCTTCAGGTCCCCCGTCAAGCCCTGCTGGGCGGGGGGTGCGGCGTCAGGTCCCCTAGCCCCAGCGCGAGAGCTCGAGTGTGTGACGGCCATTTGCATATTAGCTCTTTATTATATAGGATTACTGTATAAAACAATAACTATCAAAATCATTATCTAAAAATAGAAAACTGAAGATAAAAATAGAAAACTATAACTGAAGATTATTTCCCAAAATAGAACTGAGATTCCACTGAAATAGTCGCTAACATTTATTTTCATATTACACCTTCTTTAGTGGTGAGATTATAAGGTTTCAAAATGTTTATAGTTTGCTGTAATGCAAATGTTTTAGCTTAGGGTGGGATCTTTTTTTCCCCAAGTTCAAAGAGCTGTGGTAACAAAGCAATATCCTGTTGAAGTGCAATGTCAGGTACAAAGTCAAGGTGGCAAAAATGAAGCAGCCATGCACTTCCTGGCAGCCAAGAGACTGGGGAGCAGGCAGAGGCAGCTTCTATAGCAGTGGTTCTCAACCTTCCTAATGCCGCAACCATTTAATACAGTTCCTCATGTTGTGGTGATCCCCAATTTCACTGTTACAAATTGAACATAATTAAAGCATAGTGATTAATCACAAAAACAATATGTAATTATATATGTGTTTTCCGATGGTCTTAGGTGACCCCTGTGAAAGGGTCATTCGACCCCCAAAGGGGTCGCGACCCACAGGTTGAGAACCGCTGTTCTATAGGGAGGCACTCACACAACCGACAAAAATGAGTGCCTCGAAGAGGCCTCTGTGCCAACAAGGTGACTCACTTCTTGTGTGACTTTGGGAAACTCACTTCTTTTTTGGATACCAGTTTCCCCCTAAAAAGTTGGAAGAGACTTAGGTCTCTTCCAAGTTCCAATTTTACCATTCTAGATTTCAAACCAAGGAGAGAAACCTAGAGGGAAAGAACTGGAACTCAGTGACACGCCCCCTTCCTAGACTGGGAGCTGCAAGCACACGTTAAATGCTGGATCACACAGCAAGCCCCCAGGCCACAGAAAGCAAGATTACACTTTGAAAAACAAATCCAAATATAGTCTGAAGGCTCAGCTGGTTGGGGTGAATGTTTCCCTAAATCTGGGGTGTGAAATCGTGCATACATATATCTCTCTCCTCATCAGGTGAAAGCTTGGGTGAATACAGAAAGAAGAGAAAAAGTCAGCCCTAGAATGATTATCAAAGAAAGTAAATCTGGTTCAGCTTCGCTGAGAAAAACATCCAGGCCATTCTGGAATGGAAAAAAACTCTACTGACTTCCCTGAAGAAATAGCAGCTAAGATACTGTGGAGAGTATCTGAGATCCCAAGGGTGTTGCCAGCATGCGCCTGCATCCCATCAGCACCTGAGCTAACCTGCTGATTTAATTACTATGTTAGTAAAAATCCTTTTCAAAAAGTAGCCATTCTATTTATAAGATCCTTTGCTAAATACACGTTCACTTGTGCTTAACTACTACCTAGCCACCATACTCCCAATTCTAGGTACAGAACAAATATGCTTATAAACTCAGGAGTCTACAGCAATGAAGTATTGACTATATATGCCACTTGGGAGGCTATGTGCATTTGACAAGGTCTATGATATAGGAGAAAAGGCAAATACCCATCTGAAGAAGAATTACAACAGCCCACTACACAAAGCCCCAGGGAGGTGGCTCCGAACATCCACCCGAGAGCAAGGCCCACCTAGCATTTGCAGGATCCCACTGCAAGCAGTGCTTCTCAATCTCCTTAGCTGCAACTTTTAGTAAGAAATATATCTTATCAGATGATCACCTAGTACACACATATGTACTATATATCTCAAACGAAAGTTTTCAAAAACAATATTCTTAGGATATGTATATATGCTGATAGTATCTATTCTTGCTCGCTTCTTTTTTAAAACAAATTCTGGTCACAACTTACTAAATTAAATTCATAACCATGACTCACCATTGAAAAACTCTGCTACAGGACACTAATTTTATTCAAAATACCCTCAGCATCATAATGATTTCTTTTCTAGAATGTGGCAGAGGAAGGTTGTCAAATTCATCTTAAATTGTATTCCAAATACTGAAAAAGTCCTTTCTCATACCAAGCAAACATACAGGTTACAAATTACAAAAATGACTACAGTATTTCTTGGTAAGTGACTCAGGGCTCCAGGCTAACCGCCATTCCTTCCCCCATGAGGAAACCAGGCAGGCACCCATACCTCATCCGGTAGTGGAGCCGGAGTGATGTCTTGTCGTCGACAGTAATGCTGCGATTTGGAGCATACCAGAGCTTGGTGATCTCATCATACAGGGCAAAGAGGTTGTGGCACAGGGGAGAGATACCTGGGGGAAAGTAAAGAACATATCAAAATATCAAAGATAGATATATTTGGCTATCTGTTTCCAATGCATGACATATGCAACATAGAAAATTCTCTCATCCAGAAAGAATCTAGGTCACATTCATATTGTCTTAGGGCAAATAAGACTTCCAAGCATGTTCAATCAAGCAGTTTTAATAATAATAATTAGTAATATGGCTCCCAAGAGTATGTACTATAGCTCCTGGCAAACCAGATTTAAACATTTTAAAATGGATGTCTCATTATATTTCTCAGTGTCTACAACACAGTATTACCAAATCCTGCTTTTAAAAAAGGCTATCTGAGAGGTTCCTAGACCCCTGCCTGAGTTCACCTTGCTAATCAGTCGGAAACATTCTTGGAGTTTGAGAGGTCCCCAATCTGTCTCCTACAGAAAACATTTAAACAATTCTAACATATATATTAAACATTCAAAGAAGTTTCTGGCAGTAGCAGATAAAATTATATTAGAATAAATAACCGCAGTGACTTTTATCAGTGATTAAAATCTATTACCATTAATAATATATGTAAGCACTCTGTAGATAATCATAAATATTTTTAGTAGCCAACTAAGAAGAAGCTATATGCTTAACAAAGGTGGTTCAATAAGCTCCCTTGCCTCCCCACCCCACCAACTGCTTCCTTCAATACAAGAATGACCAAAAAGATAAAGGAGATATGAAGCCAGGAAAGCACCTTTTTGCTCACTTCTGACTCCAAAATTAAAATTACACACACCTGTAAACTAAAAGCAAGTGGGCAAGGGAGGAAAATGATTGCAAATAATCATATTTCATGTGCGGTCAGTCCTCAAACTAAGACACAGTGAACTAAACCAAAAATAACGTGAGAATATGAGGTAACTGGTCCTTGTTTTCCAAATGAGACATCTGGAGTGAGACAGACAGTGATGGGGACTCTCGCCAGCCCGGCCTGCCTAGGCAGGGACTCTCCAATGAACGGGCTGAGTTAAGAAGCTGCATCCTCTTGACATCTCAATGCCTCTGCTGAACCCCTCTTCTCATTCCTGCTTCTCAAGTTATTCGGGAGCTACCCCTTCAGCAGTTATACTCCTCCTTGTAACAGAGAGGATGGAGCTAAGCTTCGAACAGCACTCTCTCCGGGAACAAGGGCAAATGACTTCTGGATCCAGTATTAAGAGGACTGTGTTTCAGGTATACCATTTTTTTTCATTCACAAAATGGCTTTTGTGGACTGGCCTAGAAACCGAGCCTTTCTTCATACATTTGAATGTGCACTGACATACATATTTAAGCATAATTCATTTATAACCATGGATCTGTCTGTAATTCTCTCACAGGTCAGATTCTAATAATATTAGTACTCATAAATAGGAAAATCAAAGGTATCTTTTTATATAGAAGTATGGAATAAGAGCAATACTAACATCGCTGAGGATTAAATGTCAGGCATCAGGCTAACACACTCTACATTTATTATCTTTAAATCCTCCTAACACCTAATGAGATATTATTTATGCCATTTTACAAACAAAGAAACTGTGGCCTCCTGAGATCTAGTCTGATTCAAAGTTACTCAGTAAACTGCAAAGTTGGGATTCAAATCAAGCTAGAACTACTGAGTAGGTGAAATAAGGAGAACTAAAATTACAAAAATTTGCCATATGATAACGAAAAACATGGAAGAAAACAACACTGCCCCCAAACACCACTTACTATAATAATAATAATAATAATAATAATAATAGCTACAAGAATGTGGCATCCCGTATTCATGCATTTTCAAAATCAATAAATTTCTGTAACATTCTCCTGAGTCAAAATAGAGACCGCTATTTCTCCGCAGAGTGGGCTTGGATCTCTACGTTTCTATGACATGACTTTGTCATTTAAAAGCAGGTGGCAAACATGGGCAATGACTCCAAATTTAAAGGATAATGAAAAAGGCTTTATTTTGCTGCTCAGTTTGGCTTTCACCTTCTGAAGGCAACAGGCTAAGTTTAGTAGGATAAGCCTCACTTAAAAAAAAATGGATTGTGTTGTTCACAGCCTCACTGTCCTTTTCACAACTTGGCAATCTGACCAAGCCACAAAGTGACACTATATTTCTCACTTCACCTCAGCATCACATTGGAGGTGGGGGTGGGGGACAGAGGCAGGCCACAGCCGCAGGATGAATCACACTTGTCAGAAGTTTTGAACAACTATGATATTGAGAGGTGCTACTTATTGAGCCTGTAACTTTGTGCTTTGCTCATTTAGTGCTGATATTATTCAACTTCACAGATGTAGGGGAAATAAAAACTAAGTCTCCACAGAGGGCAAGCATTGTTCCTTGGTATCCCACAGCTCATTAGTGACAGCAGGAATAAACCACTTTGCAATGAAGAAAGTGAAAAGTGAAACTCTCAAAATTCAAGTCACTGGCCTAAGGTCAAGGGCAAGTAAGTGGCAGAGGCAGGGCAGAACCCCAGAGTCCACACCCCTCTCCACTCAACGGAGCCATCGGGGCAGAGACACCTGGATCTGCTTCTGGGATGGTGTACCACCAAAACCCACGTTGGGCCCAGGCAGCAGCCAGTACTCACAGCACTCCTGCGCCGCCCTGATGCACAGCTCCTCCGCCGTGTACTCCCCGCTACCCAGCCGGAGGGGCTCCCTGTCCGACAGATAGAAGAGCACTTCTACCCCTGGCTCAGGGGCCTCCAGGTTCACCTCGGTCTTCTTGGAGCTCCGCATTTTAGCACAGAAAGCCATGGCATTGCAGTCCTCCTTTATATTTAGATACTGTAAGGAAAATAAGACTATGGTCATTCCATGTGCTGAAAGTTCCAACAGTAAAGGAAAGTGTTATGAAGGTGAGCAAGCAGAAATTTGTGGTACTGGGTAAGTACCTCTCTCTGCCCCTTCCCTCCCTGAAAATCAAATGCATCAGGGCTAATGACACGTGAAACTACGGAAAACAATCAATTACACATTCTAATTAATTATTTATTGTCAGACCATATTCTCAAAAATCAGAATAATTTTAGACATGGTTTAAATTTATTTTCTCTATTTGCACACGAGCTATCGTTGGAAAATGTGGCTCATTCTGGAACCACTGATGCTAATGATACTAGCATTGGTGCTATCTCTACTGGGATAATTTTACCTTTGAATAGAGCTATGGCATGAATCACACTGTCTTTTAATTTTATATCTATCTCCCACTAAACTGTAAGCTCAGTAAGGTAAAAATCATGTTTATCTATCTCCATGCACCCAGAAGCCAGCCCAGGGCTGGCTCTTACCTAGTACATACAAAATGACAAGTAATTCATGTTCATAAACCACATGGAAGGGTCATGAAAATTAATCAAAGGAGCCAGGTCCCTGGCACCCCATGGGCAGGCAGGAGGATGGGCAGCACGCTGTGGCAGCAGAATGAGGGTGGGCAGCCTTGCTTTGACAGGGTCAGAACTCTTTGGTGAGAAGCTTGCAAGAAGTCATTTATCTGAGTCTCCTAAAAAGGGAGAGCAGCTAGGGTCAAAGAGCCAACGTCAGCAACCTAGTCTTGGGCAAGGCCAGAAAGGAGAGGGAAACCCCTACACATTCTTTCTTCCCCTCACCCCAACACCAATGCCCTACAACTTAATTTCCCTTACCAGAGGTCACAACTTTCCTCCTGCCTGCCAGCCAGCCAGCCTTCACTTAGCCCCCAAAGTAATGTCTCTGAAACACAAGTCAGGTCCTCCAAAGGCCCCCACTATCTACAGACCAATCTCAACTCCTAACAGAGGCCCTCCGTCACCTGCCAGCTAGCCTCACTAGTCTCAGCTTTTATCACTCCCAGCCTCTTCATGCCTCACACCCACAAAGCTGCCATCTTGCTAACTACCTCCACCCCCATCTCTCTCCCCAATGCTGTTTTTCTCACCTTCCTGCCTTTGCTCATGCTAATCCCTGTACCAAAAATACCTTTCCACCTCATCCCTTTCCTGGCAAACTTCAATTTTCTTTAGAACTCAGCTCAGATGTTCACTTCTCCAAGAAGCCACCTCTGAACCTCCAACCTGTTCCCTAAGTTAGATGCTCTCTCCCACACTCACCTCACTGCACTAAAGACACCTTATTCATGTGTCTGTCTCCGTCTTACTCACTTGCTTGTGCTGGGAGTTCCCTTAGGACAAGGACTATGCCATTCATCTTTGTTTCCCAAGTACCTAACACAGAGGCTTACATGCTTGCAGAATAACCCAAGGAGGCTCCTCAAAACAAGACAAGTCATATGGGACGGACAGCAGTCATAGTTGTCTTCACCAAATTCATGTGCTTGGTCTATTAGCTGCCTTGGTGAACTAAGACAGTTATAGGAGGGGCGTAAGCTAGGTGTGCCTCAATGCTACAAACTGAGAGTCATTCAGTTTTACTTGTTTAATCGGTGAACTAAGACAGTTATAGGAGGGGCGTAAGCTACAAACTGAGAGTCATTCAGTTTTACTTGTTTAATCTCTAAAATGAACCTGAAAACCAGAATCTCCCAGAAACCAGGCTGAAAGACTAAGCTCATAACTTACTTTGAGGTTCAGATCAACTGCTAAACAAGAAAGTTCTAAAACTCAACTCTGATTACCCAAATTCACCCCACAATAAAAAACAGATATGGAGAACAGAGTAGCTAAAGTCTGCTTCATAGCATGAGATAAACCTTTGTCCTGGAGATTCTATACAGACATGGCAGGAAGAAGTCAAAGATGGTGTTACCCTTTCACCCTGAGGAGACAATCAGGCAAGCATACATAATTACATATATACAAGATGTGGCACCGTCTGAAATAAGGGAAAAAATACAACCAACAATGTCCAACAGGAGAGGACTACTAAACAAAATAATTGCAACAGAGACACCACACAGCTGTTAAAAAAGTTGACATAAAGCTCTATGAACCAACACTGAAAGGTGTCTATGACATACTACAAAATGAAAAAAAAAGCACAGTATGTATATTTGGTTATACATATCTACAATCTGGAAAAACCATACAATACAACTAACAGTAGTGAATGTCAAGGAGGGTTTACAAGGGAACTTTAACTTGTACTTTTTACTCCCTATACTTTTGTAGTCGGGAATTTTTTTTAAGGCAGAACATTCAACATTTGAAATGAACAAAAATTAAAATACCGATATTTAAGAACTAAAAAATTTCAAGATCAGTTTCATTATTCTTTTTAAAAGCTATTTTCCTTTTTGTCTTTAACATGCAAATGTACATACCTGCATTTATTCGGCTGTCCAATGTCCCCCAAAAGCAGCCTGGATTTTCTTCTCTGCTTTCCAAAGCCCGTTCAGAGCTGAGCTACACAAGGACAAATAAACAAATCAGCTGCAGAGGTAATTGCATCAGGAAAGAAGAGGACGCTTTCATTAAGGAAGCAGCCCAAACCATAAGCGGGCAGGAAAAAGCATTTGGGAGGAAGAAGAAAAACAACAGAAAGCATTGATGAGGACACCGAGAGGACAGAGAGGCAGCTTGGGTTGTAAACATCAAAGAAGATGTGATTCTGGTTGCTTCAGAAAGGAAGCCGGGGACTTTTGCTTCCTGGAGCCGAGTGCCCTGTCCAGTGCAAGAGAAGGCTGTGCACCTTCCGTCAACAACCTCTCTCCTGAGGCTGTGAACAATAGTTTGGGACGCCCAAAGATGCGCGCTTATTTCCTATTTCCATTTCCTTTAGAATTACCCTCCTCCCAAAGCCGGCTGCCCTTGGCCTCATTTTAATGGTGAGCCAACATATGGTATGCTGATGGGGAAAGGCCTAGGAATAACTCTGCAATGTTTTCAGTTCCCCACGCAGTTTTTGAGCCATTCTTATTTGAAAACTTAGGTAGCAAATAAAGATCCCATGTTACTCCCTGACCTTAAGTGCCTGGTCCCATACACACAAACACACACACACACACACACACACACGCACACACACACAGCTCTACATTATTTTAACAACTTCCCTTGCTGTTTCTCACAAATTCTCTTTTTTACCAGTAGAATCAAATTACTGTTGCAAATAAGGAACAACTACTCTTAGTGATTTGAAAGTGGTTTCCAAGTAAATATAGGTTATTGTCTCAGTTTCCTGCCTATCATTCAACACATTTTATCAGCATGCATCTTTAGGAAGAGCACGGTCCCAGGTGTAAGGTGGCAGAGTGGCAGGGCACTGGAGAGAATGACGTGAGGCTGCAAGGCCACCATTCCCACAGGACCTGACAATCCAAGTGGGAGATGGCACAATGGAAAACATAAAAGCAATCTAAAATCAATAGTGTGTGTCACAAGGTCATCGTCTGTACCTCTAGCTAACTCTGGTGACTAACACTGGTGAAGGCTAATTTGGGAAGGCTTTCTGCAGTGGGTGAGACTTAAGCAAAAGTAACAATAGGAGGCCAAGCAGGGAATACAAGTATGAATTTTGATGCGACAACTTTGACTTGGCTATTTTAACATGGACAATTTTAACATGGTTCAAAGAACAGACCACTAGACTTTTAGCTTTTAAAATGTAATATAATCAATTATTTTAATTAAGTGAATAGATACCCTGCCCTGCATCAAAACAGCAACCTGATATTAGCTACATGCTAATGCCTTGCTTCTGCTCAGAAGCAGGGTTTCGAATGTCATGTTTAGGAGACTCACTCAACAAGTATGTTTGAGCAGTTCTAAGTGCGAAAATCTAAACTATATCAAGAGGCCACAATGAAGAACAAGAGTGATATGATCCCTGATTACATGGAGCTTATGGTCTACAGGACCAATGGAATCAAACAAAAATGCACAGAAACGGGTAATTATAAAGAGCTTTAAATGCCCTGAAGAAAAAAGAGAGCTCATATAAGAGCAATATGACATAGCATGGAGTTCAAGAGGGAAGTAATATTGACCTAAGTTGTAATGGGTATCTAGGGAGGAGTGGAGAAAGCAGTCTGGGTGAAGGATTGGCATGTGCAAAGGCCCTGTAAGAAATGAGGAACTAGTCTGGTCTCTCCAGCTGCACAAATAGGAAAATCCCTCCAATACTTCTTTTTACATCTGGACAAAGACCAGCACTAGCCAATTTACAGGCTTGCCAACAGCATGTCTGGGACCTTTCTACCCCAGATTTCTTGCAGCACGCCACTATAATCTGTTGCCGAGGATGAATAAAAATTAACCAGATGAACTCCATGCTTTAAAGCATTAAGAAGCCCATCTCAAACCAAGAAAGGGACACATAATCAGAGCCTTTTAAAACAGGAAGAGACCTATAAGTTCCACCAGATGCAGGCTCTTAAGAAGAGATACAACATAAAATTTTAGAACTCACAAAGCATTTTAATATGCACCATCAGATCACATGTTATTTAAATTTAGGAACTGTGGGGTTGCTCTGGGCCTCATGTAAGATTCGAGGTTCAGATTAAAATCACTAAGATTCTTCTAGAATTAGGATTCTATGAAAACCTGTAATCAAGCAGAGCTTGGTATTTCCATTACAGTGTTCTTTTTCCACAGCAAGCAACATTATATTGAAATCACATTGTACCTAATTTTCAAACTGATCTCCGGTATTACTGGACAGGATAAAAAAAATGGTATCAATTTGTGATGCTTAGCTTAGAGATTAAACTCTATGGGAAAACAAGATCAGCCAAGAGAATTTCTAGACAATATGCATTACTATGATGTTTTATATGCTGATTCAATAACAAAATCCCTACTCTTAGGAAACTGACATTCTAACGATAAAAATGTTAAAAGCACTTAACATAGATGCTGGGCATCATCCTAAGTGCTTAAACCTCAGTCTGCTGATCCAGTTCATATGCAATGACAACTGTCCTCACTCAGGATAACAAGTGATTTTGGTGCTACAGCATTTGTGTAATGGCTTCATTCAAATAAACATTTCTTTCCAAAAATACACACACAAAAACAATATGATCTAGCTACTTATTTTTACAACAGGTACAAAAAGAGCAAGATCCATTTATAAATACTTTGGATTATTCTAAGAAATCAATTCAAGTTTCTTGCTATAGGATACAAAAAGAAAATCTTTAATGTTAGAAAAACTGACCAGATGGTATCACACAATGCCCTTTAAAAATAAGGTGATTCACTGGGTTCCATTCTCAACTCAGATGAAAACAATGAAGCTCAGAAAACAGGATGGATAAAAGTGAGTAATCAAAAGGTTTTGATGACAGCAATGAATTCATCCACCTAACTCACTCATAAATTTTCAAGGATTTAAAAGAAAACGTTTTTTCTTTCCATGAGAGAGGACTAATTTTGTGGCTCAATTTTCTAGATGCTACTTAACTTGGAAAAAAAAAAAGAAATCAGGGAAATTTTGTAGATTCTCAGGTTGTTGTTTTTTAATTTATGAAAGTCTTATGTGAGAGAGAAGTACATCTGATACTTTCTGAGTGAGGGAAAAGTAATAGAAACAAAACCTAGTCCTGTCAGCCTGAACAAGGACTAAACTGCAATAGCGGGGATATCACTATTTTCCAAAATGCACAATTCCAAAGTATCTACTTCTGAGAATACTAACACCCTTTTATATTTTCAAGGACATCTTTTGAAATACAGGTATCTGTATAAGGAAGAATATACAATTAAATTTGGAATAGTGGAGAAAAGAGACATAAAAACAGACCATGTTAACTCACAAATATGACCATCAGACTATTAGTGCTTCTGGCCAAAGGCCATTGCCAGATTTATATGATGAAAATAGACTGGATGACAGTTAAAATCAGTGACAATCAAAATATAATACTTTGGGTACCTGAATGTTTTTACTAAGGAAACGGTTACACTTCCAGTGATTTACTTTATGTATGCATTAAAGAAATTAAAACCTTTAATCTCTTAAGTAGAAAATACAAAGAAAATGTTAATGAATTAAGGTATGAACTTGGGGAAAAAAATTTTAAGAAATGTTATTAGAAAATGTCCTGAATAGAACCAGAGTCATAGAAGCATCAAACAGACTGTCCAACCTATGAGGGAAGGCAGGGGGTGGGAGGGTGAGGGGGTAAGAGATCAACCAAAGGACTTGTATGCATGCATATGAACATAACCAATGGACACAGACAGTAGGAGGGGGGGTGGTAAGGGCATGTGCTAGGAAGTGGGGGCGGCTGGGATAAGGTCAATGGGGGGAAAAGGAGACTTATGTAATACTTTAATAAGGAATTTAAAAAGAAAAGAAAATGTCCTGAAATCAGCTGCTTAATATCTTAAGAAATTGTAAGATTAAAGATATAAAGCCTTGCCCTAACCGGTCTGGCTCAGTGGATAGAGTGTCAGCCCACAGAATGAAGGGTCCCGGGTTCGATGCCAGTCAAGGGCATGTACCTTGGTTGCAGGCCCAATCCCCAATAGGGGGCATGCAGGAGGCAGCTGATCGATGTTTCTCTCTCATTGATGTTTCTAACTCTCTATCCCTCTCCCTTCCTCTCTGTAAAAATCAATAAAATTTATTTTTAAAAATAGATAAAGATGTTAAGCCTTAAAAAAACTATTTCAGCAGGCACCAGTCTTACCGTTGGTGAGGAAACTAATACAAAAAATACAAGCTCCTAAAAAAAAGAAAAAATACAAGGTCCTAGGGGGCAGGGATTTTTGTTTCTTTAGTTTAGCACTTTACATATTAAGTGATCAATAAGCAGTTAAACAGTTGTTCAATGAAAGATTAAGGTGACAAATGAAGCAACATATGCAATGGAAAATTCACCCTAATCCAGGGTGCCTGGTTCTTAATGACTTGGTACACAAGGCAGGAGATGTGAAAGTGTTCAGACAAGTGCTAAAGCAATATAATATAGGCTTTATGGCAGAAGATGAAGGTGGGCTGTGCGCTTGCTCAGAAAAAAATGAATAAATAGGAATTCTGAGCAAAAGCCTGGTCACAAATCAAAGTCTTGTTTCACAAATCTCAGATGACACAGAACAGCAGCTAAAAGCATGAGCTGGCGTCATCCAGACCTGAGTTTGGATCCCACCCTCCCCATTTACTAGCTATTGTATCCTTAGGCAAGTAACTTAACATCCCTAAGCCACAATGTTCTTAGCTTTAAGTGGAGGGATAAAATAGTGTAAATCTCACAGAGCTGTTAAGAGTTAAATGCATTAGTGCACATAAAGTGCCTAACAAATTTAGCAGGCAATAAGCATTCAGATTTTGGGCATAATTTCTGTTAAACTGATTACAGCTTGATGGCATACAGTTCCAGCCAAGGAGAGCAAACATCTAATGCATGGAGCTAGGCACCTGTACTTAATTCCCATAAAAACCACGAGAGGTTTTG